GGGGAGACTGACCTTGCATGTTTCTCGGTTTGAAAGGTATTGAAATATTGGTTAATTGTAGTGAACATTATTGAGAATGAGATATATCAATTTGTGTGTGACCTTAAATATTAATTGGTTTAAAGAGAAATTTATTGTGGTCTTTATAAAAGGGAAATTAAATTGAAAGCGCCTAAAATCGATAAGCAAAGAGCTCTTCTAAGATGCCTCTAGCTGATCGACGCACAAAACGCGAAACAAATACACAAACGATGGGGTGGAACATTGCCAGGACTTCTGTCGGGGTGGGGAAAACAATGAATACTCGTACGTGTTTTTCATTCGTCGAGAAACCGTGTCGTCGGTAATCCGAATGAGTCGCGTGCGCTTTAATTTGGTTCCCGTAAGCATGGTATTGTTTGGAAGATCGAGGGTTCTGACTCGTGTTGAGGACGGGACTTAACGTGCGATAACCGCCTTACTTCCTAACATAAATCAGTCCCATTCCCCTTATCTTCCATTCTTTTTAAATGTCAAGAGATACCTCGATGCCAATAAATTGATTTAAAAAATGACTTACCATGATGCGCAGGATATAGTGTCTGTGGTATTGACATAGGGCTGTATGATGGTGGTGGCACTCTGTTGTGATTCGTGTAATGTCTGTAAATAAAAAAAAAAAAAAGAATATATGTATTTACATGTTGAAAAATATACATCAGTAAATACTGTTATTGTGACTTACCCAAGTATTCTTCGACCTGCTTCGCTCAAAGAAGCAACTTGTGTGGATGGAGTGAAACCAATCTGTGGTTTCCAAGTGTTACCAGTGTTACGATTCATTCGGTCAAAGTCCTGTGGTTTCAACACTCTTGGTGGTTCTCTGGCACCCTTCAAGATCTTTGCGAGGAAAATGAAATTACTGCTATATTTCGGATCTCTGAATCTGATGCTGCAATAAAAAAGAAAAAATTGTATTATTTCCGTTTTAAAAATAGAAAGTACTTTCATTTGTGAGTTTAGGTTATTTCATACATACCAATACACTTTATTGTTTCTGACTGGTAATAGTCCATTTATGGGCGAAGGTAGAGTAGACCCGTCCCCGACAGAATCTTCAGCCAATAAAACCGTGCCTCGCATACCGTCTACGGATATTGGAGTTTCTGCGTCGAATCTAACACGATTTGTGTACAACCCTTTTATGAAATTGTAACCGTTGTTACCGAGTCCAACGTATAACCTATCGTCACCTCGAATATTTCGTTTCTCTGAAAAAGAAATATATTATTTTATGAATTTTAGAAGAATTTTCTATTTATTATATGGTTCATTAGTAAAGTGAAAAATTAACATACTTTCTGCTTCCGTTAAAAGTTCGTAATATGGCACCAAAGCCTTGAACAATCTTTTCTCGTCCACAAATGGCAGTAGTACTACTCCTTGCCAAGCAAATTTTTTACCGTTTAAATCAATTTTGAAATCTACCGGATAAAAGTCGATAATCGGTGATCTCTAAAAATATTTCCATTAAAAGTTATTAAGTGCCATAACTTAATTTTAAGGTTATGTAATTGAAGTTGAACTTACCGGGTCGCTCATTAATTTTGCCCATGGCGCAGGAACATGTTTACTGCTAGCTGCTGGAAACACGCCCATCAATTGTTCTAATGGACGGAACTGCAATGTTCGAAATGAGGGGAATAAATTTACCCGTGTTAATTTATTAATTAATTTTGGATTTCCAAGTACATACCGGTACAGTTCCCTTCTCGAATTCGGTAGAAAGACCACCGATGTTAATGAAATCACTAGCAAATGGAGCATAATGATATGGAAAATACCATTTCCATGATGCACAACCTTGATAATAGTATCGTAGAACCCAACATAAACCACGTACGTACTGCAGCGCTACATTATTTCTGTGTATAAATAAATATGTATTAAAAATTTTATCCTACATAATAATATTAATTTTTATAATAGTCCAGTCCTAAACCCCGAACTTACCGAAACGCCAAATTATCAGAAGATACATCAAATTTCGATTCGTAATATCGATCTTTAAAACCGTCCTCCCATAATCTAACTTCATCGTTCGTTTCTTCTTCGTCGAAATCGTCTTCGACCAGATCACTTTTACGTTTCCTATGAGTATCAGACGAATTCTGCGAAGCAATTGATACACATAAAAAATGTACATAAATAAGCATGTACAAAAATAAAAATGCAGAACATACCTCAGGACGCATCATACTTTTTAACATTTCTTTAGAGTCTCCCTTTCCGCGTTCATTTGAATTATAACTTTGTCCGTGGACACGCATCTGATAAGCTTCATAACGTGCATTTTCTACTGGCTTAATTTGTTCACCAATAGCCTATAATAAAAATACAGATACACAGAATTGTACTATTGCTGCCAAAGTAAGAACAACTAACAAAGACTTTGTAAAGCTAACACATACCGTAGGTGCAAACTGTCCAGAAGGAATCCATTTTGGTTTGATGTTACTGATACCCTGTAACCTACTCCGTTTATCTTTTTCGCGTTGCTTATAAGCCAATTCATTCTGTTGTCTTTTCTTAAAAATTTCGTCTTCGACATCGCCTAGGTCAGACACTATCAGTTGTACTCTATCTAAATTAACATCTCCACTGTCTGTTAAGAATCCCTGTTATTAATAATAAAACTATAATTATCATACGTTTCCTGTTCTGTTTAGCTTATATCTGTTGATAAAAAATAATTTTTTTTATTTTTATCTTTAATTCGTATTACTTACTCCTGTTTTATATACTGTCTTTTTGTATAAATTGACGAGTCTATCAATTGCCCCTTCTCTAATCTCCAAAGATGGAAGGTGAGGGAGAAAATCGTTTCCTACGAAGAAACACATGAACACCCAATCATCGAGAGCTCGCTCGAAATCGTACTTAAATGGTAGATTAGGCATTTGTAACTCTCTTTCTAAATATTCTCTGAGTACGTTTAAGCGCACAAATATGTACTGTGTTTCAGATCCAAATGTATTTTCTTCTTCTCTTGGATTAGCCTCTGCACCTGTACACTCTTGCATGTCATGACCTAACTGACCACATATATCACATGGTTTCGGGTTGTTTGGTTTAAATTCTTCGCGAATAATAGTGAAATTAGGTTCATGTGTTGCTAGTCCCAACATAATTAAATCAGCATCAGCTCCACACAAAACGTGTTGTGTGTTAGGGTCATAATCAGGTTGTGCTGTTATGTAAACAAAAATTTCAATTTGCATAAAAAGGACTCAATATTTTTTGTATGTGATATTTTAGAAATCTATTAGCTGCTTACCCCTTTGTCTGCGTATAAAATCCATTATCTTATGTTCTCCTTCACCTGGCACATTTGCATCGCTCAAAATTACTTTTATATTTCTCCAACCAGGATCATTATTTAAACGATCATGTATATAATAGTGTAAACACCTTGACAATCTTTCCATAAATGGTGTGCCCTGCAATTAAATTAATTAAAAAAAGTATTCCTCCTGAATATAATTTAATATGGAACTTTATACAAACTGGTGTGATACAGTTGCTATCAAAATGGTCTTCTTTTGGTTTCTCAGGTGGCAAGGAAGCACCTTTAATAGTTAATTCAGAACGAATTCTTTTTATTTCATTAATTTTTTCATTTGTTTCTTTGGAAGCTCTAAATCTTCTTGATCTTTGTTGATTCATTTTAGCTCTTGGTGCCTATGAATATATTAATAAATATATATATAGTAATTATACATAATCACAGACACATTAACTGTTTTGTATAAATACTTACAACTCCATCAATTGCCATATAAAGTAATTTCCTTGGTCTTACAATACGAAATAAACGGTCTATGCATTCAAAAATGGCTTCCATCATTTCATCTTCATTTTTTGGTGCTGGTCTACAAAAATATTAACAATAGCTAATTAACCATCTTATATTCATGCTTTACCCATTACTCCATTGAAAACTTACTTGTCTTCTGGATGAGTACAAGGATGTATAATACCATTCATGTCAAGGTACAAGTTGTCAAATTCTATCCCATTTGGATTTGGTTCTGCTGAATTCACAGGCACTCTTACACCAGATGTAGATGTTGGCTATAGCACCACAATAAGAGTACACATTTTACTTACATTATCATTTATTACAAGTTAAATCTTCTTCATCAAAATAAATAATCTAACCTACCTTCTGTTCGACACATTCAATAATTACAGAAGGATACTTTCGACTCAACCACCGAAAAAATGCTGGTACACCCATATTTTACTACTGCAGGTCGTGTTTTCACACGGCTCACGCTTCCTTTCGATCGTACTTTAAAAAATTATTTATAAATTAAATGAGCGCAAACTGTTTTCACCGTTTACTCATATTTAACCTACAACATAGACTTAGGCACGCACTAAACTCTACTAAGTATACAATCTTGGCATATGTGCTGCCATCTTCTGCAGTTTATGTCTTCGAATGGATACTTTAAATTATACGTAATAAACAAAATAGTATTAATAATATATGATTTTTCCTAATATTTTAAATAAACCTGTTGATATTATATTAACAAGTATCCATTTTTAAAAGAACAGTGTTGAATAATTATTATAAAAATGAATTAATTATTTTACTCCCTCGTTTTGCCGGTTGTCGATGTGTAGGAAGCGTGGAAAAAATACACTCCTGTAATTGTGTGTAAATATAATATTTTAGTTCTTTGTTCCTTTCATTAAAAATACGTTTTATCTAAATTAATTTAATAATAAAAAGAATTCAATTCAGTTTAATTAAAGATTCTGATCTTCCTGTATTCACAACGAGGTGGATAAATTTTAATTAATATCACTGACAATCGTTCACATCAATTTTTTATACTGTCGCATAGGTGTTAATAATTTGTAATTTTTTGAATAAAATACAGTTCTTTTTCTTTTCAGTAAATTCTGAAATCAAAACTAATTTTCAATATGCCAGAGGAAAATATTTTACATGGACCACCATTACCAGTTATGGAATTCGAAAATTTATCTTTAGGACAATTGATATTAAATCAATTAAGCATTCATAGATTTTGGGTAGCACAGGTAAATAGTTTTTTTATTATTTTATTAAAATGTACATAATAGTCAAATATTCCCTCCATTATTTGAGAATACAAATCTTTTCAGGTAAATGCTTATACAGGGAAAATACAAACATTTAAAGATATTCTAGACATTAGTAGAAAATTAGCAATTGCTCTTGATAAAGAAGGATTAAAAAAAGGTGATAAAATAGCTATATGCAGTGAGAATAATCTGGAATTTTGTTTAGCAGTATGTGCTGCATTTTTCTTGGGTGTTACTGTTTGCCCACTAAACCCACTTTATACAGAAAGAGAGTTAAAACATGCATTAAGTATATCGAAACCTAAGTACATTTTTATATCACCATTTGGAGCAAAAAACATATGTAAAGTTGCTCCTCAGTTGTTCTGGTTACCAAAGCTGATAATGTTAACAGAATCCACAGATAAAATATTGCCATGCATTGATAGTCTAATATCAAACACAATTATTAGTGATAACTTCCATGCCTGTTCAGTAGATGTTAATGATCATGTAGCAGTTATTTTATGCTCTAGTGGCACTACAGGATTACCAAAGGGTGTAATGTTAACAGATAAAAATTTTTTAACTGTGATAAGAAATCTTGTAGCTTTATTACCTGACCGTTTAAACAACAATTCAACAAGCTTAGCTTTACTACCATTCTTCCATGTATACTCTTTTTCTGTAATGCTTGCAAATCTCATTTTTGGAAGTAATTGCATTATTCTTCCACGTTTCGATGAAAAAATATTCTTACATGCTATAGAAAAATACAAAATTCAACACTTAACTGTTGTACCACCACTCATGGTGTTCTTAGCAAAACATCCTATTGTAGACAAATACAATTTGTCTAGCATTAAAGAGATTTGGTAAGTTAAATTTGTTTTATTAAAGCAATATTTAATTTTATTAAAGATGCAAGGGCCATTAATACTTTACATTTAATTAGGTGTGGTGCAGCATCTTTATCCAAAGAAATTGCAAAAATGGTTGAAAACAGATTAAATATAACAATAAAGCAAGCATATGGATTAACAGAAACTACTTTAGCTGTGCTTCAAGCACCAGATAATAGTACAAAGTATGGAAGTGTAGGGACATTAGTTCCAGGAATATCAGGTAATGCATTATAGATTTTTATTTTGTAAATTTGTCTTTACCATTTCTCTTTCTTTCTCTTCTTAATATTTAGCAAAAGTAATACCAGTTAATGGAGACGAATCAAGTGAACCTCTAGGACCAAACAGTGTAGGAGAACTATGTTTCAAAGGAGACTTAATAATGAAAGGATACTGCAATAATGAAGAAGCTACAGCAGCAACAATTGATAAAGATAGATGGCTGCATTCAGGAGATGTAGGGTACTATGATGAACAGGGTTATTTCTATATAGTCGACCGTTTAAAAGAGCTTATTAAATATAAAGGATATCAAGTTCCACCAGCTGAACTAGAAGCAATACTATTAACATGTCCTGGAGTTAATGATGCAGCAGTTATTGGATTACCACACGAAGAAACAGGAGAATTGCCAACAGCTTTTGTTGTTAAACAAGAAGGATCTGATGTAACAGCAGAAGAAATTACTAACTTTGTAAATGGTAAATTCTTAAATTAATCGTTTAATTAATGTCTTCACTTCCTCTACTAACAAGAAATGTTTCAGAACGCGTATCAAGCCATAAAAAACTTCGAGGCGGCATTAGATTCGTTGAAAATATACCTAAAACTGCATCAGGTAAAATTCTACGTCGTATGCTTCGTGACACGTTTAAATCAAAATTATAAAATACGAACAAAAAAAGTCAAATATTACCAATTTAAATGTATTCTCCATTTACATTCATTTTAAAAAGACTGAAATGACACTATTAATATTTATTGAAACAACATTCGTGACCTTTTAATGAAACATAACTGTTTACTTTATATAAAAAAATTTTATATCCCTAGTCATCAGAATATTTTGCTATTATATGCAAATATATATTAAACCATTTTTCATAAATTATATACATCGCTGTTCTAATGTTTGCTTCACTTCATGTGGTATATTACTCAAATACCACTGATGAATTTGACCAGGTGCAGTAGCTAATATACCTTTTTCATTTGAGTATGTTGTTTCGGAATGGTAAGAATAATGCTTTCCATAAAAATCAGTTAATATGCCACCAACAGCATGAAGAATTGCTTCTGGGGCACAAGTATCCCACCTTTTACAACCTTTACTAGCATATACATAAGCATGAGCCTTCCCTTCCATTAGAAGTATTACCTGTTTAGAAAAAAAAACGGAAACAATAAAGTCATTTAAATAAATTGTTTAATTATACGAACTTTTAATTGTACTAATAATACTACCTTATACCCTGCACCACCAACTCGTAAAACTTCATCAGGTTGCAAAGCATTTATAGCTGCTTCAACATTACTACTTGAATGTGAACTGAAAGATAATGCATCTATGATTTTCTGTTAACCTGTTAACCGGGGAATTAACTTTTGTTCAACTCGTGACAGATTGCAAAAAACGTAAAAGTACGTGACCCGGCAACAATGTGTTAGCATATGACCACGCTAGGATTTAATGGATAAGGACGACGTAAAACATAATGCGTTCAACATATTACGTTTAAAAATTTCCATGACGAAAAAAGTCATCATGCCTATTGGAGTTGTCTTCCTGGTATGACGAAATTTTTCGTCATACCCGGTTAACAGGTTAAAATTAATCATAACTTAAACTATTTTAAATTATACCGTGTAGCTGCAATTATCCTTTTTCCCTCTGGTGGAGTAATTGGTGTAAATCCACCAAATCCTACCCCATTTATACCCCAAAGAGTACGTCCAAGAATTTTACTCTCAGCATTTTTATAATATGGTTGATGAATTACACCTCCAATTGCTCTGTGCCCAATTGCCACTCCTACTAAAACTGTAACATGTTCTACAAGACCCTGTACATACTCTGCTGTTCCTAAAAATATTACTCTACCTTAAAATATTTAACAACCAAAATGTAATACAATTAAAGCAAAAAAATACATATATATATACCATCCAATGGATCTACCCAAATGCACACATCTTTAGGATCAATATCTTCCAGATGAGCCGGCAATTTTAATTTCAATACCTCTTGATCTGCCTCAGTTACAACCCAATCAGATGGTACTTCACAATTAGAAGATTCTTCTTCACCAATGATGGTAATATTTGGAAATTGATGGTTTAATGAAGCAATAATACACCTTTGAGCACAACGATCAGCTTCAGTTTGTAAATCATTCTTGCTCTTTTCTACTATGTTTAGTCCTCCATGAGTCATAACATCTCTTATAATTTTACCTGCTCGTATTGTAGCAGTTACAGAAGAAGCCACTATTCGTGATAATAAACAAGCACTTTGTGCCATTTTTCATGTATTCCTGTTAATATTATCAAATACTGACACTGCTTCCCTTACTCAGAAATACTATAGCTTCTATTAACAATACTTTACATATGTTCTACACGTAATTCTTCTGGATCATAGGCTGTGAAAAAATTATGACAAAAAGCTTAGAAAGTAGTACAATTTCCCAAGGTTATATTAAGCAATATAGAAAAACGTAATATGTTACAAGAGGTCTTTTTTAAATTTTATTTATTTCAAATAAAGGCATTAGAAATTTATATTTATAAATTGCTTCTTATCATTTTGAAATCGGCAGTTCTCTTTTTGTTTCGCATGCAAGTATGTCGTACAAATTGTTACTAATTAATCTAATTAATAATAACAATAGTATTTCTGAATTAAGAAAATCTTCCATAAACGATCGCTAATAAGCAGAAAATAAATGTACAAAAATAAATAAAATACTTACAAAATCCTTCCTGTCAAAGAATCAATGTACAACGGTACAATAGAACTTGGAATTATCTATGTAACCAAATTGTATAAACATTTAATACAATATAAGTATCAACGCATAAAATCTTTTAATACTATTTCATCTGAAGAGAATTAACAAAATTTTATTCAAAAACTATCACTATTCTATAGCGTTTATAAATCTTGTCATTTACTAATGCAGCAAATGATACTATACGCACAAATCGCTACATGTTCAGTATTCTAAGTGATTATAATAAAGGAGAATAAAGGAGAAAAGTAAAGAAAAGTAATAACAGTTAAATGTGCTCGAGTGACTTTCATTTCAACATTTTTTATTAAATCTTAAATAAAACGGTGATGTACCAACTTAACCTTGACAGTATTTTACAATATATTGGTTATTACTACAAAAAATAACAAGTAAAATGCTATGTCACAAAATACTATTGCCAAGTATATTACGAATACTTGAATCGCATAATAGTTTTGGTTTCTATTTTATAAAAAAGCGTATGTTACATTCAAGTGTTATACAGTTACGATGTCAAAAAATAGTATCAAAGCATATAGATATTGAAAACTTGGGAAAAGATAAGAACAATAAACTTTTTTCAATAATTGAAGAATATGTGCAAAATGTTAATCCAAAATTAAAAAATAAAATTTTACAAAATTATTTCTCATTTAGTATATATAATACAGATCCATATTTAATAAGTCACACAGAAGGCAAAAAATTTGTAACACTAATTAAAGATGATTTATTAGAGAACATGCCTCATGTAATTGAATTGAACCCAGGCTTTGGTCTATTAACAGAGTGCTTACTGCAAGCTGGTGTACCATTTTTAAATTTGTACGAAAGAAATAATGATTTTTATTCTGATTTATATAATCTGTATAAGAAATATCCTAAACGATTTAATTTAAGGAAGGCAAATCTTTTTAAAATATCAAAAATGTTGAATTTACATTCTACTTCTACATTTCATACCAATATATGTGAATTGTTATCTAATATACCAGAAAGAAAGTGGGAGGAAAACACTTGCATGCAAGTAATTGGAACAACAACTAAAACTTTGTTTTTAAGGCATTTAATAATGAGTGTGCTATTTCAATCAGGCTTCATGTTATATGGACGACCTACTTTTTATCTTGCAATATCACCATATGTATGGAATGTTAGTATCATAACTTTAAAATGTATTTTTTTAAGAGTATGTTAGAATACTTGTTTTAAAGTAATTTAAAATCATTTCTTTATGTAAACAAACCTTAAAGTACTATAACAATTTATTTTATTTTTAGAAATTTGCACAGCTTGGTAATAGAATAAATACCACACATATTATGTTTGACATATTGTTTGATTACAAAATATTAGGTACATTAGATAGAAATGCATTTATACCATGGGAGAAAAGAAAATTAAGAAATAAAAGTATATCTCAGAATTATGATATTGATGTGCTTTTTGTTACTAAATTAGAACCTAAACCTAATCTTTATACAATATTTGGTGGAAAGAACAATCTGATACATTTTTGGCATTTTGTTCGACATCATTTTTATAAACCATCACAGAGAGTAATACCTGCATTAGAGTAAGTACAATTACATAAAAATAATGCTTACCAACTATTTCCTTTAGAGTATGTTAATTTGTAAATATATATTTTAATGCTTTTATTGTAAGAAAAAAATTTTTATAGGAAAATAATACCAGGTTGTGGTATAAGATTGA